CATGCATGCCGCCACGGTGTGCTGCCCTGTTACGGCGGCCAAAAACATAGTTGAGGGCCGAAGGCTTCTGGTGGGCTGGGTCTCAGCGCAGGTTAAGCTGCTGGAGCCCAGACCTCTGAGGTGCTATCGCTGTCTCGTGGGGCACCACGTATCAGTGAGATGCGCCTCGGAGGTTGACCGCAGTGGCCTTTGCTTCCGCTGCTGTCAGCCCGGACACATATCGGCGACCTGCTGCGCCAAGCCGCACTGTGATGCATGTGCGGCGGCCGGCAAGCCAGCCGATCACCGGGCCGGAAGCAAGGCCTGCGTGCCACCCGCCAAGGCCAAGGCCGCGGGGAGGGGAGGGCCCTCCGCCGCCACCGCCTCTGTGGCCTCCACCGCAGCCGCAACTGCCGCCGCCACCGCTGTCACTGTCGTCGCCGCCGCCGCCGCGACATCGACGCCCGCAGAGGGGCCCCCCCGGGGAGGAAGCTGAAATGGAATGCCTATAACGGCCCCATTAAGCTTTCTCCAGGCGAATATCAACCACTGCGCCTGCGCTCAGGATCTGTTGCTCCAGAGCATGGCGCAGTGGTCGATTAACATCGCTGTGGTCGCTGAGCCGTATTTTGTCTGGCCTAGGGAGGACTGGGTGGCGGACCTTAACGGCTCAGTGGCCATCATCTCTTCGGCCGCCGCCGGTACCCCGACCCTTGAAGGTGTCAGGAGGGGTCAGGGGTGCGTAGCAGCACGGTTCGGGGAGTTCGTCGTTGTGGGGGTGTACTTCTCCCCGAACCAATCCCTCGCCGAGCTCCACAACTCTCTGGCAGAGCTGAGAGCAGTCGTCGCCGGAAGTTATCCCCTCCCCGTACTTGTCCTCGGGGACTTCAATGCCAAGAACTTGGCTTGGGGTTCTCGTCGTACAGATGTGCGGGGTAGGATGGTGGAAGACTGGGCTCTGGAGACAGGCCTGGTCGTCCTAAATCGGGGTTCTGTCCCTACGTGTGTGCGGATGCGGGGCGAGTCGATGGTGGACATCTCGTTCGCTAGCCCCGCTCTGTCGCCGCTTGCCATTGACTGGCGTGTCATGGAGGGGGTGGAGACCTACTCCGACCACCGGTACATCCGGTTTGACGTCTCTACCCAGCCCTCGAGCGCGCCAGTCCAACAGGCCCCGAGTGGTCCGCGTTGGGCGCTGAAGCAGCTGGACCGGGAGCTCCTCCTGGAAGCCTCGATCGTGCAGGCCTGGGTGTCATCCCCGGACAGGCCTGCCGACGTCAATGATGAGACAGGGTAGGTCCAGGAGGCCATGTCCTAGATATGTGACGTGGCAATGCCCCGCGTCCGGCCAGGAAGCGCCCGGCGTCAGGTGTATTGGGGGTCGCGTGAGCTGACGTCTCTGCGCAAGACGTGTGTCGCCGCGCGGCACCTGTACGCCAGGCATCGCAGGCTCCGCATTCGTCCACCGAACACGGCAGTCATTGAGGCGGAGCTGTACGAGGGATATAGAGCGACGAAGACCGCCCTCCGGGAGGCTGTCCTGCGGGCCCGGGATCGGGCCCGTGAGGAGATGCTGGAGACTCTCGACAGAGATCCGTGGGGGGCGTCCTTACAAGATGGTGCGGGATAAACTCCGCACCTGCCCCCCCGCTGACGCAGAGTCTCAGGCCCCAGCTCGTGGAGGACGTGGTGAGCGCTCTGTTTCCTGCGCGAGGGGAACATCCGCCCCCGCCTATGGCTCCGCCACCTGCGGTGCCGGAAGCGGACCACCAGGACGACGACGACGACATCCCGGAAGGTACCGGGGTAGACCTGAGAGGGGCGGTACGTAGGCTCAAGGCCAGGAATGCCGCCCCAGGACCCGATGGCTTGCCTGGCAAAGCCTGGGTCCTGGCCTCGGAGGCTCTCGGGCCCCAACTGGAGGGGCTCCTAAGCGCATGCTTGGAGAGAGGCCAATTCCCGCTTCGTTGGAAGACGGGGATGCTGGTCCTCATTCGGAAGCCGGGGTGCCCTGCGGACTCTCCGTCCGCATACCGGCCCGTGGTGCTGCTCGACGAGGTGGGCAAGCTCTTTGAAAGAGTCATTGCAAACCGCCTCGCCGAGCACCTTGCGGGGACGGGGCCGGATCTTGCGGAACACCAGTTTGATTTCCGCAAGAGGCGCTCTACGGTGGACGCCATCATGCGCGTGAGAGCCCTCACGACGGGGGATGCAGAGGCTAGAGGGGGTTGTCTTGGCGGTGTCTCTCGACATCGCCAACGCCTTCAACTCTATACCCTGGAGCTGCATTAGGGAGGCACTCCGGTATCACCGGGTGCCGACCTATCTCAGTCGTATAGTCGGGGACTATTTGACGGACAGGGCCGTCATCTACCCCGGTCGCAACGGTGAGTGGAACCGGCGAGAGATGTCGTGCGGTGTCCCACAGGGTTCGGTTCTGGGGCCACCTCTGTGGAACATCGGTTACGACTGGGTGCTGCGCGCCGACCTCCCTACCGGCGTCAGCGTAGTTTGCTACGCTGACGACACGCTGGTACTGGCACAAGGGGGGTCGTACGAGGCGGCGGCGGAAACTATGACACGCGGGGTTGCGATAGTCGTTGAGAGGATTCGGCAGCTGGGTCTCGAGGTGGCTCTGCACAAGTCCGAGGCCATGCACTTCCATGGTCCTCGGAACAGGCCACCACCGGGATCCTCAGTGATGGTAGGAGGTGTATCCATCGGCGTCGAGTCGACGCTGAAGTACCTAGGACTCGTCCTCGACGGCCGATGGAACTTCGTTCAGCACTTCCGACGTTTGGCTCCCAAACTGGAACGGACCGGGGCTGCCTTCAAGCGGCTCCTGCCGAATCTGGGGGGGGCAAACGCCTCCTGCCGGAGGCTCTACGCGGGGATCGTGCGATCCATGGCCCTTTACGGAGCCCCGGTGTGGGCGCGTGGTTTGGCGCGGCTTGCCGTCCACCACCTGAACGCGCCCCAAAGGGTGGTTGCCGTGAAAATGGTTCGGGGCTACCGCACGATATCCCGCGAGGCGGCGAGCCTCCTTGCCGGATTGCCGCCATGGGATCTGGAGGCGATAGTCCTCTACCCCCGGCCGCCGGGGAAACCCCGCTGCCGCGGCAAGTTGTCGCTCAGCACACCCACCGCCCCAAGCACACCCTCCAAAGGGCGCGAGAAAGAGAGAGCAGCAGCTTTCCTCCCCTGCCGCCGCGGGAGACGCCCCGGGCGTCGGGGGCTACGTCGTGGCCCCCGGCCACCGTAGGCGCGGGCCTGTGGACGGCGAGCAATGGGTAGCTCGCCGTCCGTCCGTCTAACGACGACAGGCCGTGTCGACGGCGCGTTTTGTTCCACGCGCGCCTCAAAGAGCTGTCAGCAGCGTGAAGGGGCCCACAAGGGCCGACGCCTGCCGGGGCTGCGGGCTGTTCGAAAGAGATACCGCGGCTCCGGAACGTAAGGGCACTGAAGGAACACGGATGGTTTTTGTCAGTAAAAGTCTGACACTCCCTTAAGCTCCACCCAGAGCGAAAGGCGTCATTAGATGATTTTCTCCGAGAAGGACTCCTTTCCGTCCTTCCCGTGAACACGGGTGCTGTAAAGCTCTCGAAACGTCGGGTATTAAAAAAAGTTAAATATACGCCATAAATTCCGTAAAAACTAGTATTATTTCAATTTGGGATAATTTCAAATAAAAGTGGAAGCCTTAGATACTCGTATTTCCAAAAAATGCAATAACGGTTTAGCATTATTTATACGTATATTTGAAATTAAGTTTAATTTTTGGCTAGAAATAGCCCTGTATATTTACTCTTCCTTACTTATTTCTAATGAGATGACATTTCTAATTAGCTTCTCTTCTAAGCACTAACTCAGATATTCCTTTCTGAATCCGAATTTGGGAATTGGACACCCCAGTCAATAATCTCAACAATTTGGCATTAAAATCGTAACTGATTCGTGTAGTGTATTATGTTAAATCGTTAAGATGTTTTAGACACAGATTAATAGGTATATATTGGGAGACAAGTAATTACTATTACTTGTCTCCCAATATATACTATGTATTACTGTACCAAAATGCTCGGGGTTTCTCTGCGTCATAAACTTAGAAATGAGGATATCCGCAGTAGAACCAGAGTGCCCGACATAGCCCAACGGATTAGTAAGCTGAAGTGGTAATGGGCCGGCCATATAGCTCGAAGAACCGACAATCGTTGGAGAAAAAAGGTTCTCGAGTGGCAGTCTTATACCGGTAGGTGAAGTGTAGGGCGACCTCCACTAGTTGGAGTGACGACCTGGTAAGACATGTAGGAAGTCGATGGATACAGGTGGCTCAGGACCGTGCTTTGTGGCATACCTTGGGGAGACCTATGTTCAGCAGTTGACTTGTGAAGAGCTGTAATGATGATGATGATGATGAAGTAATAGCAACGAACTTTAAAAATTGGTTGACCCTGCAGGCCATTCCTGGAACTTCCCGCTAATTTTAATGCAAAGCGCTCCAAATTTTTGCAAATTATGACATTGAATATGAAATATCGGAATAATTTTAAAAAAAATCATTTTTTTTTAACGATACCTTGCTAACGATTCAACCGATTTACACACACACACACACACACACACACACACACACACCACACACACACACGCACACACACACACACACACCACACACACACACGCACACACACACACACACACACACACACACACACACACGCACGCACGCACGCACGCACGCACGCACGACACGCACGCACGCACGCACGCACGCACGCAAGCACGCACGCACGCACGCACGCACGCACGAACGCTCGCACGCACGCACGTACGCACGCACGCCCATTTATACATTCCAATTCGCTTGAAAGGGTTGCTTACTTATCTTGCTTGAGGATGGAACGTATTGGTACGTGACATTGAAATAAAGCTGTGCTTTACAATACAGAATTAGAGGCCTATGATTATTATGTTGCTTTTCTGCAAAATTTCGGATTCGTTAACAAACCTCACGAGGAATATCACAACACAGAATATTTATCTAAAGATTTTAAAGGCAATCTAAACGGAGGGCTCATGATCACGAATATTTCGGTGAAGTACACAATATTTAAATTCCTGCCGCTTCTAACATATTATACACGGTATGTTTATGTTATGTAAGAAGCGGTCTTGTCATTAGGTACTCTCTAAGAATATAGTATGCCACAATCAAACGAGATTTAGGAAACAGAATTTCTATAGAAGAATAACTATGCTCGTAATGTTAACCCGGCGGTACTCGCTAGGTGTTTACATGCACGAATACTCGCTACCGGGTAAAAAATACCACATAATTTAAATGACATTATCTTGGAAAAATAAGTTTGCATTACAAACTTTAATGGTGTATTTAGTTTATTAATACTAATGTCTAATAAATAAAAGAAAATTAAAAGTTTGAATTATTATTTATTTCAAATTATAGCTTATCCAAAAAAAATACAAATTCTAACAAAAATTCTTCATAGTCTTAGAAAAATCAACAAAACAATTTTTTTCTTAGGTATCACGTAAAATTGAGATCAAAAATTATAAAACGACCTTATACACTACCAAAACAACAAAAAATAAAATACTGTTTATATTAAATGAACATCGAGAAAATAATCGTCAAACAATATGTTTCAAAAAACTTGTACCTAATCTAACTATTTTTCTTTGACATAACAATCGCCACAAATTGGGGTCGTATGCTCACGGCATATTCTTTTGGAACACAATTTACAAGACGTCTTAGTTTTTCGGTCCTTCTTCCATTCACATACTGCACAACGGGAAGCAGATGTAGACGGTCGCAAAGCTGAGGGTGTGCTTGTGTGCGTGGCTTCGTCATTCGAGTCAGCATTGAGCATACAATCAATTTTTGTTTTGATAATTTTTGGCAAATTAGCTACTATTGACCTCTTTTTTATCTGTGGCATCACAAGGGCCAAAGCCAGTTCTTTCAAAGCGATCCTTCTCTGAGCCATCACAGCTCCACTATTTACTTTATTTGCCTTCACTATCACGTACGCATTGATGCCGCCGACGTTCAAAAGACCATAAAACAAAACCAATGGCCATCTTTTGGTAGCTCGTGCTACTGAGTAGGTAGCACACATCTCATCCACAACATCGACGCCACATTTTGTTCTATTATAGTCCATGATCATCTCGGGCTTTTTTTTCTTCTCCAGAATCTTTTTTGCCATCATGGTGCATAGTTGACGCCAAGAGCACGACTTTATTTTTCTTTGGAACATAAGACACAACAGTACAATTATCTTGAAATCCAAAAAGGGAACTGTGTACTTCCCGGTCTTTGGTTGAGGTAAATACAAGTGGAATTTCAGCTTTATTCTTTCTCAAAGTACCCAATGCTGTCAAACCATAATCATTGAGCAAATCACGTAATAGCGGAAAACTAGTGAACCAATTGTCCATCACTATGTTACGATGACTATTCTTTATAGGTTCTACTAAGCGTTTGACGACTTCACTTGGTGAATTACTGTGATCATAAGGCCCATCATTTTTGCCAACATAAATTTCCATATTATTTGTATAGAAGGTTCGTGCGTCAGCCAACACAAATATCTTTATACCGTATTTACCGGGTTTGCTGGGTATGTATTGCCGAAATGGACAACGGCCGCGAGTCTTCTCCAACTTTTCATCGATTGTTACATTTTCGCCGACAGCATAATATTTTTTTATATTATTATTGAACTCTTCGAAAATCTCGCGAATGGGTGCTAGCTTATCTGTTTGCCTTCTTTCACCTCGTCTACGAATATTGTCAAACCGTAAACTCCGCAGTAAGAAATGGAACCTTTCTCGTGACATTGTGGCTATACAGACGTCGGAACCACTTCCATCTTTTTCCCAGAGATCTTTTGTGTTCAGATGACCACTTCGCAATCTTCCGCAGAAATAAAGTAGTCCAAAAAGAGCTCTAAGTTCAACGATATCTGTACTTTTACAATCGCGTTTTCTTGAGAATTTAGACTTTAGCTCTTCTATATAAATGTTAGTATACTGGACTATCTTTAGTAAACACGTTTCCGGAAAAACAAGATTCCAGGCTTCTAACATAGATGAACAAGATGTGCCTTCGCCAATCGGTCCCGGCAAATGATATATAATGTTATGGGATCTTGTTCGTACAAGTCGCGGCGGCTCACGAACTTGCCAGCGAGTTCTTTTGTCTTTTCCAGTAAAACGACCTCGCCTCAAGTACTTAAGCGGTACATCCTCTAAATATTCTTCATCTTCAGTATTCTCAATTTGTAAATTTGAAGGAAAACTCTCTTCCGACACTGAAGACCCATCTGAATCACTTGCTTCTTGCTCTGTTCCGCTTTCATGATCACTATGCTCCTCAAAATCTTCTATTTCTGACACATTTTCTTCTTCACTATCTTCTTGTTCTAGACATTCTTCTATAATTCGATCCGTCAGTAGGGAACTCATCATGAACCAGCTCTAAAACAAAATAATAACATAAAAAAAACCACCAATAACATAAAAAAAAATGTAACAAGAACCGTCGCTACCGGGTATTTTTCACCCATACACACTTTAAACGTCCGTTGTCGCCAAGCGCCGCGCGCGAACTGGCCGCCCGGTGACGCACGCGCGTGTTAACTATTGGCCAGAAGGTACTTAAAGTCGTGAGTTGCCACCATGTTTAGTAATAAAAATATCACGTGATTTAGGTACTCTGTGGTATTTTTTACCCAGCAGCGAGTACCGCCGGGTTAAGGATTTAAGCGATTTTGCGGCCGTAAATTAAACTCCGTTAACTACAGCGCTAAAATTTACGTAAGATAAAGCTATAACCGGTGACGAAGTGGACGCGGGATGATTTTTGTAAGCTCTAGAGGGTCCTAATATTACTGACCTCATATACTTGATGTTAGCACAAATAAACGAGAATTGCTTGATATTCTCCGAACTACGCATGCGACGTATAAGCTGCCACACGAGCTAACACGACGTACAGGAACGCCTTTATTAAAAATTTTAAAAACTTAATAGGCTGACGTTTTCTCTATCAAATTTTATCTATTTAAAAAAATTAAGGACGCAAGTGGTATAGTTCTTTAAATTACATTGCTAATATTCAGAAAATCTCAGAGTATTGAGTTCTCTAATGCTGAGATTTATTAGTTTTAATAGAACATTGAAGTGTTCACACTCTCAGTTTGAAATTATATTTTAAATGCACTAGCTATTAAAATATGTATGTAAAAATAAAAAAGAACTTATTAATTTTACAAATTTTAGGAACACGTTTTACATGCACGTTTTAAGTACTTGGGGCATTGGGTTACAGAAAATATGTGTTATGGTACTGACATAGAGACGGAACGCAGAGCTCTAACCATGAGCTACATCCTACTGGTGGCGATAGGAAGTCGCTATTGCTGTCCTATCTTGAGGCACTGTAAAAGCATCCATATCGGCTCGAGACCTACTCTGGTTAGTGTAAAGTTTAAAGAGTAGGTAATATATGTAACGTTTTAATTTTGATTTATTTACTTACCCTAGCTTATAAGTACTTTTTATAATTACTAACCAATTTAATTTTGTAAATGAGCGATATTAATGTAACACTATTAATTTTCCAGTGAGCAAACAAAACTTAAGCGAGTCACAGATAAAAATCTTAATATAAATATAATAAAAAACTTAATTATCCGTAAGTATCCGACACTACGCAAATACAATAATATACGAAATGATACATTCAATCGTAATCCTTCAAACTTACTGGACGTGTTTATGGTGCGAATAATTTATACAGATTGTTATCTACAATGCGTTAGCGTATAGTGCTTGTTCCTCATTCTATTAAGGCGACGACTTTCTTTCGGACTTTGATATTGATTATTTAATTTAACGGTTCAGCCGATCTTATTATTATTATTATTATTACTTAACAGGCTAGCAGTTGAAACAACTGATGTAAGCCCATATCCTATTTTCAAATATGTAATTATTCTTATTTTAGATGTTTGTCTAATCTGTTCTTGAATTGGTTAATAGTTTGTGCAGATATTACTTCTGATGGCAGTTTATTCCATGCTTCAACCACTCTTTGGCTAAAAAAGTGCTTGTGTGGGTTGTTATGTGACACGGTTTTGGTTAATTTGAAGTGATGTCCCCTAAGATGTGTGTTTGTTGAGTACTGGAATAAATCTCTGTCAAAATTTTCCAGATCGTAGTGTCCATATATAATTTTATATGCTTCGATCAAGTCTCCTCGTTCTCTGCGATCCTTCAGTGTCGTTAATTTAAGCTTATTCTACCTTTCCTCATATGGTATGTTTTTCAATACTCTAGGGACCTTTGAAAATCTACGTTGAATATCTCTGAGCATACTTTGAGTTTTGTGGTTACGAAAGTATGTTAGATTCATACACATACACATTACATATTTTATCGCACTTAATAACTTATTATAGCTTATTTTTATTTTTTTATTTTACAGCACAGGTCACGAGGGGTACTGAAATATTTAATCTCACAATGTCATAGTTATCCCGGCCAACTTCAGTTTTTGAATATAAATTTTTGGTGCGATCTACGCAGAACGAGCTTACAGTATCTTGAAGTCTTGTAGAGGTATGCTTGGATTTAGATTTAGTTTTGTTAATTATAGGATCCCAAGAAGATGGTAGCACCCATCTATCTTCTCTATTGAAATAAGGATGTTTTTAATTTCTATACCCTTACGTAACATCTTAGGTAGGAATCGGTGTTCTTTTGCGAGTATTTGTGTTTTATCAAATCTGATGTAATGATGGGAAGGATGTTGAACATGTTCACAGACTACAGACTTCCCGATGCGTCGGTGGTTCACGTCAGCTATCTGTCCTTTCACGCGGGTTTTTATAGATCTTTTTGTTTGACCTATGTATGAGAGACCACATTCCCAATATAGCTTGTAAACTCCTGCATCTTGTAGAAGAATATTACATTTAATGTAGGAATCTTTTGTGTGTGCTCTGGTATGTCCTCTCAGTGGTTAAAAATACTGTCACCATGACATACCAGAGCACACACGAAGTATTCATATAATTTACTAGTGAGATAAAAGAACTACATCTCCCTGACAATGAAAAAAGGGTAATTTTTGAT